AGAAGTAAAAATTCTTCCACATACACCTTTTGTGGTATTAAGTGTTTCGTCTTTGAATTAGTCATTGTATATGTAATTACAGTTTAATACTTTAGTTTACGATTTAAATTGTCGTTTCCGGTAAACTGAATATTATTCCTGAGTTCCCCCTAATTAGAGATGGAAGGCCATAATGCAAGGAGTAGATGATGACGCCCATACTTTCTTTCTTTATTTGAAAAGCCGACGTGAAAGAGATTTTCAATACTAAAGTTACAGAAAATGACATCATATCACTCAATGCACATCAAATAAACATTACTGGATACATTCCAAAGAAATGATAAAATGTAGTGGAGGGTCAAATTCTGTATATAGTATTACAATTTGTATAGGCGGCAGTACGTGAGTGGATTCATTGGCTTTGTATCACTGATCAAATGGATTTGGGCTAGTCCTCCCTTTTTGTAATGATACCTATTTTATTTCGATTCATATTGGCTTGAGTAACATGATTATAACTGCTCTCGATTCATGTTTATTGATGGTGCTGATCCCAAGTGGCGTCGAAGAATCCCGCCAATACCTTAATTGGATCCCATACGGGTTTCCTACAGGTAAATGGCGTCTAGGCATTGAAAGGGCGTTTACTCGATGCTGTAAGAGCTTTTTGTACTTGACTTATTTGAAATGAATTCATCAACATCACTAAAATCGATATCTAAATTCTTCTTTCTGAAAATAAGACGAAACGCAACATGGTGGTTTATCATAATAAAATTGAAATCATAATGACCTTCTCGTAGAGCTCTGTACACATGTTTTTGTATTTACCTAAACACATAGGCCTGTAGATGTACGATTGCCGCAACAACAATGAACAAAACTTATGAAAATATATTAATAGCATGTATATAAGTGATTTTTATTTGTGGTCCATTGAGGTAATATTTCATTCAAAAACTGTGATTATCAAAAGTGAGAATCGGTACAGAAAGGTCAAAATAATTTTATATAGAAATTCCATTGATGTATAAAATAATAGCACCCAGGTAAATTTGCCAATTGCCGATAATTGAATCTACCTGTAGATAATTAGAGCGATTAGAGCAAGGACATGCGTTTAATTTTGTATTGTCTAATATATTTAAGCCTTTTATGTCCTGACAAAACTCCAGCCCATGCAAGAAAATAATGAAGACTTCGATTGCTCTTGACTTCTTTGGTCATGATCATTCATGTCAAGAGGATTGTAATATGTCGTGTTTCTTTGCCCTGAGAAGGCGTATTATTAATTAGTCCCTTCTAACATTTAAACAAATATCGGCTTTAGGAGTATGTTGTTAACTATAGTTATATAGTTACACATGTAGTCACTTAAAACGCCCTCTAGAAGCGATATTTCCCAATCTCAATCGACATTATCTGAATAATAAATGAACTGCCCTTATATTCCGCTTGGGCTGGTGCGCATACCTTATAAGAGCAAGTTTATTTAATAGGTCTAAAGTTAGCTTTAAAAAAAAAACACTTTTAGACCCTTTTTTATAATCCTATATGATAAATAGCACTATATACATTTTGATGAATAGCATTATGTTCATAACAATCATTTGCCCTTTTCTATTTTCGTTTGTTTTAAAGAGGAGTCTTAAGCAATAAAAGAAGAAAACTACTAAACAATCTGCGTCGTAGTATGAATTATCTTCTGTTTCTAAGCTTTTCCCCGTTCATCTTTATGCTGTCAATTTGACATAATCAGATTTTGGAATCTGATTTTATCCAAAAGATGAACACGACCGTTTATCTGTATCAGTATAATATATTATTATTATTATATTATATAGAACTATTATAATTCCTTGCCTGTATTGTACGTAGGCTTTTAGATTACGATCTCCGGTATATCTTCCACAAAGCCAATTCAATGATCTAGAACTTTGTATTTCCCAAGCGATTTTATCTCCTTCTATAATTATAATCTAAGCCCTCATTCATTCTCAATTTCTTATTTGTTTAGCCACCTCTAGACAGGATAATCGTGTGTAGAACAGAAGGAAGAGGAGCAGTGTTATTTTGTTTTGTATTCCACATCAAAAAGATTACATCGTTTTAATCCTGTACCCGGTTTGCATTTTATTTTCATAATCGTGATGATAATACTAGGAGTCAGAAATAGTCAGCATAATTATAGTGGATGTTTAGAATTAATCCTTTCCATTTTCATGAGAGGTCGACATTCATTGAACAGTAAATGAAGGTTGATATAATTGGAAGGACCAAAAGAGCATGTTTGGTAAATCTTTTGGAATGATATTCGCAGTAGAAAGAAAACGAAAATGGAGAGATAATGATGCGTAACCTTTATTCGAGCCACGCATCATTGTTCTCTCATTTCCCTTTATTATGGAATGAGAGCGGTCAAATCATAGAGCTCCATGGTCAGACTATAATCATTGGCCTTGATTCACTTCTACACAATATAGGCCCTGCCATGATAAACATTGCGTATGTATTTAGAGAGAGAGGGAGAAGGACAGAGATAGAGAAAGAGAGAGAGTGAGAGCGAGAGAAAGAAAGAGAGAGAGAGAGAGAGAGCATTCGTCTATATAATGTGATTTTGATAGTTGAAATACATTTTACAAATATATATATATAATTATAGCACATAAAAACCTTGTCTAAGGAGAAATGATCCTTATAGAGTTTATTTTATCTTAATATTTTTGTATGACTGTCTGATCATCGACTATTAGTTTTATCGTAAGAAGGTTACTCTGCCGATGGCTGAACAAAATTCATGTATTTCTATTGTTAAAACATGAGCTCAAGCTGCACTAAATTAAAAAAAGAAATTCTGCAAACAGGACAATAATCTGACTTTTGTAGTCACTATAGAAAAGACCAAGTTAGGAAATTACCGTCATACAACCATCTATTCCAACTTTCATGACGATTGAGGTTGTCTTAAATTTTTAGACAGTTGCATTATTGTTTTTTAGAAACAGAGTCAAAACCTTTCCTCTCGTTTTTTTTACGCAGGAGGATGACAAATATGAAAACATGGACAAAAGCGGCACACTACGCACACCCCCACACACACACCGACGCACACAGACATACGCACACACGCATCATAGAAGCCAAGAGCAAGCGTTAAAGGTGAATTGGGAAGAAAGTGATGAAAATATGCATGTTTGCTATTGTTGGAATGCTGATGACATAAGGAATACAATATATTGATTGACAGAAATTTGCATGAGTTTTTAAATTATTATTAGACTTAGAAAGATCAAAAGTGTAAGCAGAGGAACCCGGAAGCGGTGATATTCTCGTTCGTGACGTAGTGTATGTGACGTATCTCCGTGGACTGTTCCTAAACCCGGAAGTACAACGTATTATTTCAATGTAAATACGTACACAAACATGGGTCATTTGTTTAGTAGATTTTGCAATTTTTGTGATATTTAATGAAGTGTTTTGTCGAATATATACAATAAAGTAATAAACATCCTTTCAATTATATAAGCATTGGTTACTTCCCGATGTTTGGTTTCCTTGAAATATTGACGTTTGGTACTGTAAAATTGATCGTCTTGCAGATCCTGACACACCGGCTTCGCCTATGTTTTGTTTTGATAATTAGCGTAACTTGAATCTCGTGGCACGGGGAAAACTCGCGATAGCTCAGCTCAGCCATTCGTAGTGCAGTGTTCACTGTGTTTCGGTGTATTGCAGCGTGACATTTTTGGGAGATAATAGTTGTTTTTCTCAGGTTATAATTAGCTGAAACGTCTGTCAATCAAACAAATTAAGCAAGGAGACCGCGATCAGAATGCAGGTGAGCTAAAACAGTTGTATTCCTCGGCTTGTAATTACTTCGTGTCTAGTTGAAATGTCTGCTGATCGAGAAAAAAAAACTCAGCAAAGAGACGGGGCGGTAGTGCGGTACTTTCTCTTCGCCATGCATGTTGAATCGACGATACAACAGGGAAGCGTTGGGGTAGGACGAAGAATCACCCCATTTCCCCATCGAAGACTTCTTCAAATTATAATTACAAGTGGCCATCCAGATGCTCAGAGAAGTCGAGCAACCTAGTAAGCCAAAATTGTAACTACTCCCTTTGCATATTTTGAGATAATGTCGCCCAACCCGCTGTTTGAATGCCCCCCTATGCACCCGCTGAAGCTCCTCCGACGCCTTTGGCGTAGGCGTCGTCTCGGAGCTTCCTAGGCCGGGTAGCTGCAGCTGCAACTCCCGCATCACGATTCGATCAGCGTTTACATTCTTGTCGTCTTTACATTCGCCCAATTCACCGTCATCTTCACTTTCTTTACCATCATCACTGCTACTAACTTCTTCTTCATCATACTCTATTTATTTCTAGTTAATCTGAGCTGTCTTCTGTCATTTTTACTGATGATTATCATCCCGATATCACTCTGATTATGTACCCTGCAGTGCTATCTGGTTGCGAATAGAATGCGCGCGGTGACCGTGTTGTGAATAGTCCACGGAATGACGTCACACGCCCAAATCTCCTAATGGTATCGTAGACGAAATTCTCTCAGAAAAACTTGATTCTCGTAACTTCATTCCATTATATCTCCTTCCCCTTATGTTAACTGACAATGAACCTATGAACAAAAATGAAGAACTGAATATAACCTTTCTAACGATACCTAATTCAATATGAATGGAAATCACCTTTAAGTTAATATTCCTCGTAAAAGTGCAACACCTGCAAGGGGGGGGGGGGGGAGGGCGTTTCACAAAACCTGCCATCAGTGATAAATTACAGTTTTTGTTATAAGGTACTGAAATCCTTGCTTCTGATTGGTTATCAGCGGATTTGTCACTACTTTTTGTCATTTGTCATTGAAAAAAAGGCTTTGAAAAACGGGTCCCAGTACTTAGTCCCAATGGACGAGCAATGACATTTTGGAAACACAATAGGGCAATTTCACCAGGATGGTAACCTTAGAATGCACAGATATAAACACATCAATAAACAATGGTATACTAGGAATCGAAAGGAGATGTTTATTTCTACTTTCCTTCGCTGAAAGTATCGAAATGGGAAGACGATGGCATTTGACATAAATCACAAGACATATGTATAAAAGAAAATTGTCTTTGTATCAGATATTTTTCCATGAATACACTGATTTAGGCGAGATGGTATGTTTTGATTAACACAATCTATAGGTAATGCAATAAATTGTGAATATCACAAGTAATTTCGATTACCAATAGCTTATAGATAACACTTAGGAAAATTGATAGTCTATATCAATTATTTCTAAGAGCAATGTAAAAGCAATATCCCTGTTCCTATAAGGTAATGATTTTAGATTTTGTTTAAGTACTCAGTGATAAAAAATGATTTGAGAAATAGTTTGTTTTACTCAAAAGTATCTCTTACTTATTCTTAATGACATTCAATTCGTGGACAATACAAATATTTTATGTAAAACATTTGCAACAATTGTGCGACAAATAAACAAACAAATTCAATTTATATGCGTGCTTGGAGTACGAACGATGGACGAAAAATACAATCGGACCTACTATTTGTTTACAATACATTTGTTGGCAGTTGAATGTGTGAGGTCATTTTAAGGACGTCCTTATAAAAGTGGGGGGGGGGGGGGGGACAAACATCACGAAAAGAAACTGTTTTCTTTTTTCTTCTTCAATTGACTTCGTAAACAGTCACCGAGGGTTAATATGGACATTAGGTATAGACATCAAAGCTATTGATGTCCGGTCATTATCCTACACAAAACAAAGTCTGGTCATCTTACACAATATAGTTAATAACCTCGCTTTACATCTCATTTATTGTAATACTTAGATGAAATACCGGGTCATGAAAATACTTCTCTTAAAATGAGATTTGTCGTATTTACCTGTGATAATATCATTGCATTTCACTGTCGGGGATCGTTATTTTCAAAATCTCATTTTAAAAAGGTCGTTCATGATTGATTATTATCCGATTTAAAAAAAATCTTAGATTTAATAAAAAATCGTGTCGTTTACATCACATTATTTTCTATTTCAAAGCAAATATAAGTTATAGTGCAAATGAATTGCACACGTTAAATATCTATTATTTACAAAATAACCATTAAACATAACGTTCATCACTTTGAACGCCAATGGAGTAAAGGCACCCGTCATATATATTCATATCTTAACATTCAACCATTCTTCACAGTTATAAAACCATCAGTTAATAGAAGAAGGCTGTCATAAACCACATTGTATAAGCACATTATGTACCTGTCGCATCAGTCAGGTTTCTGTCGAGACAGCAGTCATTAATATTGCAACGTTCCTTCTGGCACTATAGAATAGTCAAGTCTATGTTAGAGCTGTTGGTCCATCAAATGCTCGGACATGTCATTCGTCTTTGGTACATCTTAGGACTGAGGGCACCCATGTGTAGTAAATTGAGAGACCATTCTGGAAGAGGTGATAATGTGTCCGTATTTTTGGAGGTGTTGTTCGTGGCGGAGTTGTTATTACTGTGGTGTCCAGAAAGAGCAGACACGGCTCGTCTGAAGTATCGTCCTTTCCTACTCGTCTTAACTTTCTTCATCTCTACTTGCGTATCACGGATGAACTCCAGGACGCTGTCCTTGAGCTTGCCCGTGTCGGTTGCAGCGGATACCTCGCGGAAGGTCCAACCGGAGTCCCGAGCGAGAGTGTACCCTTCCTTGAAGCTGACACACCGCCCCCTCTCCATTTCTCTCTTGTTACCCACAAGCATGACTGGTATATGGGCCTTGCCGCGGAGGAAGAGTTGGGAGTGCAGTTGCTGAGCCTTTTCGAAACTTGATCGATCTGTGATGGAGTAGACGTAGAGAATGGCGTCGGCCCCTGCCAGGTAGTCAATCAGAGGTGCCTATATAGAGAGAACAAAAAGGTAAAAGAAAGTTAGATTCAATCTCTTCTGTCTTAATTACAAAAATGTATATTCCAGACTATTCCAGACATCCGTTTGTTTTTTCTAAACCATGTCCATTAAGCACGAATTGTTGTTTCAAATCAGTGCAAATTAAAACCTAAACAGTTATTTTACTGTGAGCTTTTCACACACTTTTATGCTGCTTTCACAATTATCATAATTGGTAACATAATTTTCCTGCCTTGGAAACAAAATTTTGCAGGAATTCGCTTCCAGTTTATGCTTTGAACTGCAGGAAAGCTGGATTAAAATCTCACCTGATTGGCTGTATCGTAGAGCTCGATCTTCGTTGACCTTCCATCGATCATCTCAAGTTTCTCATGGCAACTTTCTGTTGGGAAAAGGAATTAAAACAAAACGTTTAGTATGTTAACCTTGTATCTAAAAAAGAGAGGATAGAAACGACTTTTCTTACTAAAGGAGGCAAAAGCCTGGAACTAAGAAATCTTTTAAATGCATTTTTTTTCTTTTAGAGACAAGGAAATAACTAAACGGGTTTTATGATTTCATTCATGAAGTTCAGTTTAAGACATATTCTGAAATTATTCTTAATGGTATCACCCTATCATTCAAATATTGTTTGTTAAGTAAATTTAATGAACGTTATAATAATAATAATAATAATAATAATAATAATAATAATAATAATCATCATAATAATAATAATAATAATAGTACATTTATAGAGCGCAGAAACTATCCAACATTAGGTATATATTCTAGGATAATTATCTAAGATAATTAATTGTAACTTTGTTTATATTTCTTTCTAAAATTAATTGTAACTTACCTAATGTCGGGTCGTATTCATGCAGATATCGTCCACACAGAAAGCGAACCGAAATAGCTGTGATAAAGAAAAGAAATACAAAGAAGAAAAAACGTGAAATTTCAAAGTTACTCAAAGTAAGCGAAATACGACCATCATTGTAAAAGTAAATGGGATATTTTGGCAGAAGTATGCCAAAGCATCGGTGAAAAGAGAGGAGAAGACGTACAAAATAAAAGAGATTCGCACGCGAGGTCAACGAAATGAATTGCCTCCTAACAAAGGTTCGATGGAATGCTAATGTATTTGAAAACTGAATAATGACAATCTGAGTGAATTCCTCGCTCTGAAATGTTATTTTGCTGATTGATGTGACCAATCTCAATCAGTGGATGAAAGATTCAGACAGTAAGCGCGAAATGTTGCATTTCTATGGACGAGCATTCCTTCTTTCTTCACATAATCCGATTCCATAAAGCCCCTGGTCAGTAAAGCTCTTTTTATTACCCCTCAAAAATCCAGCTGCATCCAGAAAGCAAATGATGCGCTTGTGACAGATAGATGTGTATCATTGTAACAGTATTATTCGTATAGATTGTTTGAGCTGATTTAATATTGTGATACATCTCTTGTAATGATAGTTTATCCGTCTTTATTTCTTCTATTTAAGTCTAAGCCTTGAGTGATTTCTTTTATCGACATTATGCTGAATGAGGAATTAAATGAAACATTTGATTTTCAATGATAACATATCTAGTTAAATTTTATTTTTAGAAACCAGGGCCGGCCTCCTTAACAAAGATTAAGTAAGGGAATGGGCAAACGTATTGTCCAATACTTTAACTCACAAAAAGCTTACAAAGTATTGACTTATCGTTAGGCCTATACCCATTTTTTCAATGGTATGATTCCTATAACGATGAGATAGGGCAGAGAAAGATAAAATGGCATTAGATCCCTGGTTCAAATATTCATGATTATGTACAAAAGTCGCGGGGACTTTGATGGATTAAAAGAGGCAGAAAATAAACGTCTAAAATGAATGATCTATGCTTGCTATTATGTAAGAAGCCTTATACTATTAATAGAGTGCTTATGAAGATCCTGGAAAAGAGTTAAGATTTGATTGCAGTACTTTCTCTCCCCTTATCTATACAACGTCCCTTTCAACTTTGTAGACACAAATAAATGAAATATTTTTTAAAGAATGGGAGTATTGGCGTGATGTTCATTAACCAACTACCCTTGTTGAAACGAAAAAGGACCTTTGCAATGTACATATTGTTACAAAATATCGGTTAAGGTACATTTTCCTTTTGATTTTGCTTTTATTCATGTATTTCCATTTTGATTCATGTCTTATCTGCAACATACTTCACGTTCTGATCGTACTAAGGTGAACCATGTCCGCCCACCCCAAAGTCAAAAAGGGTTATTCTTATGATTGATTTGAGTCAACAGTGACTGCATCAAGCCGTGTCGATCTTCAAACAGCGCCGCTCAAACAAACTTTCATTACTGGTATGTAGATGACTAGATCGGTGATCAAGAATGTATCATCTTCTGTTAAGGAAAGGCAACGGTTAGCACCTCAAGTGGTCTTATGTTGACTCGTCTATATATAGCATCATGAATGAGACGAGCCGCTAAGACAACATGGTGGGATTGGGAAAATAGACCGAAAGGTTACTAGGTGAAGATCGCCATTTGATGAGAGTCTTGGGAATCTCGTTTATCTCATTTGGTATCGAAATTCAGTGAAGTCTTAAATTGACCCAAGAAGGTCCAAACCATGAAATTGCTCTTCTCTTCACAATTCAATTCCAGAAAAACTGTACAATCTTATTTTAAATTCAATAGGATACTTTAAGATTTAGAAAAATTTAAGAACCTAAATTTCACAACTCGCTATTTGCCTATAGAAAGAGGAAGTTCATTCCATATTGGCCTGACTAGATGATCACACCCTGACAGAACAGTGACAGGCTCGTTAGCTGTCAGGAATGGATGGGAATTTATAATGTATACATCTCAGCCATCTGAGATTGTTTGTATAATGTGGATGCTCCTCTTTCTAAAATCTGTCCACAGTGTCATTTATTAAACAATGTGCATGTTTATAGAAACAATCGAAACACTTTGTAATCTTTGCTACGATTAAGGGCTGAATGTTTATTTCAAAAAACTACTCGTATAAAACCAAGAGCATTAATTAAAGAGAATAGACTGTAGCTTACCCGTATATACAAGTTATCTAAATCATTGGAAGGTATTATGTTTCAAAGAAAATTGTCCCGATTAACCTAAAACATTGATTCTAAAGATTTTTCAAATGTTGGATAACACCGGCAAATGTTCCCCAGGGGCCGCCATCCATTTCATAATGACAAATCCATATATAGCCAGCATCAAAACTTAAGGTTAGAGTGAGACGCACGTGCGCGCTGTTTGCTTAAAAACTTGCCATGACTCAAGCTGTAATTAGTCACTTTACCATTGGCCGTGTAAATAGGTCAACACATTAAGATGATACAGACACTACCACCTAACCCTATTAAGAGTGATTTAAAGTAGGCGAAGGGTCATGATGCTACAAAGGGTTTTCTTCTTTGACATGTGTAATGATTATCTTTTCGACTCATCCCACGCGCTGGATATGTTGATAACTTTATGAATCCTTCGTGGGAGTTATTTACTTTAATTGATCAGTCACTTGTAAAACATATATTTCTTAATTTTTAGTGTGTGAAGTTTTTTTCTTAGAAAGTCATCCGAAATGAATTATCTTTAGACAGTATAGCAATGGAGTCAATTTTTCATAAAAGTCATTGTACTTTTGGACTCATTTACGACTTTTAAACATATCAATTTATATAACATCACATACAGACCAAGAAACTGTAAAATAACTTACTACACACATTCTACTTTGTTTATCAATACCTATAACAGCGATTGAAATAGTTATATACCAAACATAATATTTACCTAAATCGGTACTTCAATCGAATTATTTCAATCAGATGAAGGAATTATAGAGACAAATGCCGCCACATATCAATCCGATAAGAACGCGACAAGATGCGCTGACTGTTTACTTCAATCTGATAACAATCTCGGATCGTGTTCTTATATATGTAGTTCGAACTAAATCTACAACATTTCATCTCTGATAAGGATACAAAAAGAACTATATAAAAAAGGATAGGATTAACATTCCGTTTCCTATTTTGTCGGCAGAATGGTCACAGATGTAATGATTCTGCATGGCTTTACGGCAAGGTTTTGTTGCACCCTTAATACTTCATCGACTTTTTGGAAACTACCAAAAATCAATACCGAAGAATATGAAAAATCATTAAAAATATATTTCAGTATAATGTTCATAAAACCCTTACCATGTATCTCTCAATATATGATTTCCATCATTGTCATCTGCATTGTCTTGTATAATAGATACAAATCTGCTGATATAATGTTAATTTTGAGCCGCTGGAAACTGTTAATTAAAACGTTCCAATTTCAAACAATTAAGTTAAAAGTTTCTCCATTAAGGAATTATGCTCAACAGAATAGAATCAAATACAAACGTGGAACAGCTGCCACACTGTAACATTGTGAAGTATACCAAACTATTGCAAGAGACAACGAAAATGACAACGGAAACATATAAGAGAAGATATACAAGCAGACATTGTATCTAAACTTACCAGATTTTCCGACACCGTCTTCGCCCAGGAGGACGAGCCTGAAACTATGGGAAGTCTTCTCCGTTCTCGTGATGTTATTCTGGTTGTCATGTGCTTTGATAGACGAGGCGAACGTCACAGTCCTGTCCTTACCCTTCTGCATGTTTTGTACAGAGCGCAGTGGGCTGTAAAAAATAATCAACAAGTGGTGAACAAGATGGTTAAATGTTATTTAGAAATAAATATATTTTACTTTGAAAGGATAACTGAAATAATGCTTGGCGCACATTGATTTCTATTCCATCACAAACAATGCTGTCTGATTAATGAGAATGAAGAGAACGGTTAAACACTGTGTCACGTTCATCCATTTGATATTTCCCTCCGTAATCGGCAACTTAAATCAAGTTTTAAATAAGACATGAAGAACAAAACTATGTCAGTCTATTTATCTTATCCATACACTCTTTCATTAACTTAACACTGTTATTGAAAATGAAACACTTAGCACAATCAATAGCAAGTAGTAACTCTGTTAACAAGTTGAGATGAATCGATTCGGCGATCAAATCATAAAATGAAGTTAAGTATAGGTTACACATTATTTTCCAATCAGGTCCTTTAAGTTGGAAAAATGTGGATACTAACCTTTTTATATATGGAGAGATCGTCATGTCAAATATGAATATTCTCCGAGCAGAGAAATCGTCTGAAAAATAAAATCAAGTCTTGCGGTGATGTCAAATCTTCTTTAGAGTATTGCAAAGATGAGTCCGCTAGCGCACTGATAACGAAGTATCTGATGAAGTCTAAGCGCTTGGAGATCTTCTTGTCAACTGAGTATCTGTTGACAAATCAGATCGGTTTTATGGGATGAGGGACAAAGAAGTGGAGTTGGTTGGCTAGGCTTGCGGGGGTGAGAGATGGGCATTGTTCGGGTGCATCTTTGCACCCCAGTCAGCAGAGGCCATCGAACGCATTGTGATCAGGGGATAAAGAAGTGGAGGGGGGGGGGGATCTTCACTCGGGGGGTGATTCCAGGCCACTTATATTGGACAGACACTAAAATGTGATTAACAGTCAAAAGGTTTTAATCTCTCTCTCTCTCCCTATGTCTGTATCTCTCTCTTTCTCTTTTGCTCTCTCTAACTTTCTGAACTTCTGTAGGACAGAATGTTGAAGTACTACTTCTGCTTTTTTTCATGTCAGGCGTATGGAATGTAGATCCCTCGGAGGGGTATAGGATTTTGGATTGATAGACATGTTGGGAAATGAAAGAAAAACGGTCTCTCGGTATTCACGCCCCTAGCTCACTGGTCCTTGAGTGAGTGTTTAAAAAAAAAAATTCTCCCGATCGTGCTTCGAGAAAATGACTTGGTGAAAAACATCTTTTCATGACGATTGTTCAGTCACGTAAACAGGTTGGTTGACTACTGGAATCAGCAAGAGTGTGCGAGTAGGCGAACATGGTCCAACCCTAATCTTATTCTTACCCCCCTCCTCTCAGTCTCACACGTCTATCTCAATTACGTCATCACTTGGGAACAAGGTTATTTATTCTTAATATATTTGTCCTGATGAATTTTAAAATAATTTGTAGTCGTCCTTCGTCATGCAGTATCGATGAGCTTGTTTCGAAGTTTACATTTTCAATGCGGAGGGCATTTTTTAGACATCATACCTCGTCTATAGGGGGGGGGGGGGGGGGAGTGGGGGTAAACCAGGCAACCAATGCATTTCAGCCAGAAAATCTAATTTTGACAGGTTCTTGTTCAGGGGAAATGACAGGTGGACAATGTTCTTTGCAAGTGTTGTAGAGGGTGTGAAATTCTGAGACTTAATACGAGAGAGCCGTCTTATTCTCCTATATAAGTATACTTGAGGATACTTTGACAAGGAGCTTTAAAGCATATTCATGCAACATCATTAGGACACTTATACCTTTCCATTGTATCGCTCTCTGAGATGAGCTGTTACTGCTAAAAGATTTTTCTTTTACAGCAGTTTGCACAGTCCATACTTTTGACAGGGGCAGTATAATGTACCTCACCACGACATCTCCACTACAAGGCTCTTCTGGGTAAATCTTCTATTCATTATTTAACCTAAATCCTGATCGTTTCATTCACATGTCAAGAAAGAATGAATACAGTTTTGGGGTTTTAATTCTTCATTTGACGTGCATTTAATGTCAGATAGTTATAAATCCATCGGTGTAGCAGTAGAGAAAAAGGAGAAGATTATCTAATCTGGATTACTTTTTTTTAATAAACTCGTTTGATAAACTATATAGCTGACATCTGATTCTTTATACCCCTATTCTTTACAAAAGCAAAGTACCCTTGTTGCCAATGATTATTAGTTTTAAATTGACAGTAAGCCTGCATGAAATGTCGAGCTGCACCATAAACATTTCACACTCCCAAAAAACAAAATCGCGTATAATTATGCCCCAACAAGCACAAATGACATTTTACTTTAATTATCTCGCTACATATTCATTTCAAGTGTACAATTCGTAATATCATCCATTTATAACTTTGGAAATTTGTCAGAGAAATAAAAACAATTATATACACTGAACGACTTTTTTGACAGGCGCTGGGGAAGCATGTACCTCTCCACGACATCTCAAGTATGGCCTTTATCTTCTTATTTAATCTTCTTTTTATTATGAAGCTTAAATCCCGATCATCCCTATATAAAAACGAAGGATTTCATGTCCTTTTATATTCTACACGCTTTTCATGTTAAACGGTTATAATCTTATCGTTGTATCGCAACAGAGAGAAAAAGATAAAAAGAAGATTATCGATTCCAGATTAGCTTTTTTCATTTCTTTATATTGTTGTTACATTGTCGACATCTGAGGTTATTTACCTATCATTCTTTACGGTTAAAGCACCCTTGTTTCTTGACCTGTATTGACAGTATGCATCTTAAAGGGAAAGTCCACCCCCAAAATAAGTTTGTTTCGTTAGAGGCAGAATAATAAGAAAATCAGGTGAGTGAAAGTTTGAGCAAATTCTGAATGAAAATAAGAATTATTGAAGTTGTGATCAATCAAATACAAATTGGCAACTCTGTGACTTATTATACGAGCTCTCCTTCATTTGCTTTGTGCATAATATTCCATAAAATCATGTTTTCTTCGTTATTGATGACGGAATATATATTTGTTCCTTGCAGGGGGAGTATAGAAACATATTTGCAATTATTATATTTAGGGTGCATGTATGGTTGAAATTTTTCTTGAGGGAAAATGAAAATTGTAGATTTTTTTAGTACTGAGCAAATGGAAGTTGAGCTCGCATGATACGTCATAGAGTTGCCAATTTGTGTTTGATTGATCACAACTTCAAAAATCCTAACTTCCTTATTTTTAATCGGAATTTGCTCAAACTTTCACTGACTTGTTTCTCTCATTTTTTCTATTCCTATTAAAACTAACTTAATTTCGGGGTGGACTTCCCCTTTAAGCGTGCTTTCATACTGAGCTGCACCACATTATTCAACCAATATAATAGGCTAACGCTTTGGCGTTCTTTGATGTTGTCATGGGATGGTGATTTGCAAATGATGCAATAAGCTTATAATTGAAACATTCCTTACATTCTCACGTCAGACTTATTTCAAAGGGGACTAGAATTCGCTTATTGCGTATATAAGTGTTTAATCATCGTCCATCTTTCAGAAATATTTTAAAAATTGATAAAGAAAAAGATTCAATCATATAATGAATTCATAGCAATCTAGAAGCTCTTTCTGCAACCTTGCGTTAACCATACTTTTCTTTATTGCATAACCTATATTAGCTTCGATTTATCTGTCTTGTATATTATGTGCAAAGCTTCGATACAGAACGCAAACTTTTACTTCAATTCTTCGAAATGTATTCGAATGTTGAAAACAAATTCGGCACTGCAAGGTCATAATTATATTGTACGACATGTCAATTGAAGATGGTGTCATGAAAGTTTTTTCTTCTTCTTCACACCATCCCTTAGAAATGACAAGGATGATCGTGGCATATAATCCCCTTTAGTCGAGTTGTCATGTTCTGAGAATCTTTTTATCAAGACATTCGTCAAGTGATTCCTAAGTTTGACACCTCCGAGGGGTTTATTTGAAAGGTATACACTGAATGTTTGTCTAGAGCAAACGAGTACATCTTTATTCTTATCTTTTCACATACTCCCATCTATACCTCTTTCGACTACCTCGCTGTTATTGTTGCTTTTGCCATCTCTTTCTATAAATGTTGGTATCTTGTTTTTCTCGACCTCAACGCACTCTCTCTTTTTTTCTTTTTTCTTTTTTTTTTTATAGATCAGAGATTTTGTTTTCGAGGAATCTCCACTTTGTCTATATTTCACCAAGAAACTAGTTGATTTGTGAGGACATGGACTATACAAATCAATCTTTGATACTTTAACACCACGCATCCTTGATACCTAATATCTAATTATTCAATAACGAAGTCGTTGTTCAGATAGTCGTCGAAGAACAGTTCAGAAACCTTATACATACAGGCTTTGTTTAAGCTTTAAAAGAAGAGACATCATTTGTAATCATTATACATACATAAGCTCAGCTTAGATTGGATTTTACCAGGACATTGAATTATGGTATATACTTCGTGGAAAAGGGATTTTCTAACGCGCAGTTTTACAGCTTCTTCGGTCTATTTTGGTGTCTAATAAGTAGAAAGTTGCACAGGAAAACAATTATTAACAATTATCATAACATTTAAGATGTAACCTCTAGACATCAGACACAACATTGATTAATACTAAAATTACCATACAAAAATGAGATCAAGGCTAAGAAAATCACCAACACAGAGAGGAAACGACAGTGCAAATAAACATAATCCTAAGGGACTTTCAGATGTAACATTTATTGCCATGTTTGAAGAGCAAACGTTGCATAAGCATCGATGCGACCTTGCATGGGGGAAACAGAAAAGAAGCCGAGCTACTACAAAAGTGGTGAGATAGCCTTTTCCAAAACAACTCGTATAGGGAGTGGCCAACTGTATTCCGAAATCTCTACTTTGGTGTTTATTTCAATCAAATCAATCAATCTTGATGTTAGTTATTTACAGGTGTGTGTAGCTGTCAATTACACACAATCATATACTTTCTAGTTTTCTTATATTTTTAAAATCATTTCCTCATCATTGTCTATTATACATAAATCACCTATATCTAAACGAATCCAAATTCCGGAGAGACTATTATTTTTTGATAGGTATATGTTTGTAATAGATTGATGTAACCAATAACCAAGCACTTACTCATTTAAATATTTTTACCAATATTTTACCAATATCACATTAAATTTTCAAACAATTAGTATCTTTTGTGTAAAATCATCGTATTTGATGTTCTAGGTATAAACAATTACTTCGTCAAAATATAATTGACTGTTCTTACTGAATTCTAGTTTAGTGTATGTGTAGAAACTGTTATTTCTTGGAAATACTGGGGACCTTTGCGATGATTCATAATGACTCAAACATAATGCAACAGCGTAACATTACAACTTAAGAGTCTTTGTTCTTAATCTTCTTTTGTCAGCATCAGTAATGTTTGGATTAATGTTTATAACTCTTATGACTCACGATCAAATTCCATTCCAGTGAGAGTGTTTTACGATGATGCATGGTTGTCTTTTACTGTCCTTTTTGTAATCGTATAAATCCTCATAATCTCTTGTTTTTCTAAGTTGGGCAATTAAATCGAAAAAGATCTCCCCTGAAACCAAAGGGGGACTTAAGAATCAAGTTTGTTCAATGTAATCCCACCCATATGAAATCATGCGTG